AGAGGGGGAGTATCACCTCTCTGGACCAGCTTGAGACACATGACAAGGTATGGCTGGCCTTGCTGGCTGCAGTCTGGCATTGGCGGTTCATGTTCATCTTGGAGTCAATAACGACTCCAAGATCCCTTTCCGCCTCTGTGCTTTCGAGAGGGGAACTCCCCAGCCTGTATGTATGCTGTGGATTCCTTCTCCCAAGGTGCAGCACCCTGCATTTGTCTACGTTGAACCCCATCCTATTCTCATCTGCCCACTTTTGTAGTCTGTCTCAATCTATTTGCAGCCTCTCTCTCCCTTCAAGTGTGTCCACCTTGCCCCACATCTTAGTGTCATCAGCAAATTTGGACAGCGTGCTTTCCACCCCCTCGTCCAAGTCGCTGATGAAGATGTTAAACAGTGTGGGCCCGAGGACCGAGCCCTGGGGTACCCCACTGCTCACATCTCACCAGGTTGAGTACAACCTGTCCTCCACTACTCTCTGGAGGGTAAGATCATCACTTCCCCAGGATGCTCCAGAGAGCTTCTGGACCTCCTTCAAACAACTTTCATTGAGTCTGGTTAATCACTTTGCTCCCTTCCTTAAATAGCCAAACTCTGATTGCATTAGAATTCCTGTTATATCTTTGCCAGAGTTATACTGTGTTGGTCTGAAAGGAACAAAGACTTGCCATGAGGCAAAGATAACAAGAAAAATGTCCGTTCATGGCATTACACTTGTTTTAGCAGAGTACCAATTATACAGCAGTATCCTACACTTCTTGCAGTAGCTGCATACAGAAAGGTAGATTAAAGGAATGGCTCCTAACTGTAACATGGAAGGTCTGATTCTGACCATCACTTTACTGACTTCAGTGGGTTCCTGATTAAGCTTGCTGTAAGTTAGATGAGAACTGAGTGTCTGGGTTCTTTGAATTTTTCCATTTGAAACAAGCCAGAAATGGGAAAATGAAAATGGTCATCACAAGCAGCTAGATAGAGGAAGAAAATATTTTTATAAGATAATTAAGTTTATATCAGCTGTATAAATACATACAGCTATATATAGATATATATCTATATACAGGTATATAGATATATATCCCCCCCCCCAAATCTGGCACTCCCTTCTCCTATGCTCCCCAGAAACCATGCTATAACAGGAAGAAACATAAGTAACCAAGAGGTTTCTGGACTACTAGAAACTGTCCCTCTTTTGCAGTGTTAAGTAGATACAGCAGTCTTTGGGAGTACACTGAACTGTCACATACACAGGATTTTATGTTAGTTGTTTCTATAGCTACGGTAAATGTAATTACCAAAGAGTACCCATTTCAAATTTCATTGTAACCTCAGATAGCTAATGACATTTACTTTTTTAGCTATCTGGGAGAAAATGCTCATTTTGAATTTAACACAAATAGTACCGTTTTCCATCTTCGTTAAGTATTTCATGTCATAAGACTTATCTCCACAGACCCTGGGGTTCTGTCTGTAAACATATTACAAATACTGTTACCATTTATTTTCTGGATGAAAGATAAAGTACTGTGTGTGCCCAGAGAAACATTCCTCTTTACTTTTACTGCTTGCTACATACCAGCACAAATTCAGCATGAAATCACTGCAGAGATAATTCATACTATTCTCCAACATCTTGCATTAAACCAGAGGCACCTCAGAGAATGTAACATTATCTTTGAGAATACAAACTGTGTAAATATAGACTTGCAACCCCAAGTGATGTTAGATGGTAGACTGTGTAATTTTGTTAACAGCAAAAGAGAAATCAGGTATGGAAAGTTGATTTTTCTTTTGTCCATGAAAGCCTGCACTTCAGCTAACTGCCTCCTGATTATTTTGCGAGGGGAAAGCCAATGTCTTTTTCCTCTTCTGTTGTGGTAAGGAATGTGTGTATGTGTGTTTGTGCATTTAGCTTGATGAAAAATAATGCATATGATAAAGATTGAAGCTGAACAAATTCTTTAAAATTGTGGAACTGTAGGGGCTTACAAGGCTATCTACAGTGGAGCACAGAGAACATTCTTAATATTCAAAGGGAACTAGGGTTTGGTTTAATAAGTCTCTGAAAACATTGATGTGCATCTCAGCCTTTGGTCTAGGCAAGTAGTTTTCAACAGAGGTGCTCCAGCAGAGGTAAAACTTGTTGGCTCTGGATTTAGGACCCAGATGCCTTGTTCCAGGGGGGGCTGGAATGGGTGGGGACCTCACCCTCAGACCAGCCACAACCTTTCCACTTGGTAGTAGGCAAATTTATTGATACACAGTGATAACGGAAAAGAAATAATACAAACAATCAAGCAATTCTATTTATCAACCAATCCTAGGGCTGTCATCAGAGTCAAGAAATATCTTGCCAGGATGCAGGATTTACTCTGAAGGCTCTCTCTTAGGTGTCAGATGTTAGCATGTTAGTAGTCTGGAGGTGGGATGTCAGGCTCACGTCACTCTCCCAGTGGCATGAATGAGATGGGCTGGTGGTGTGCCCTCTGTCCATGGTGGCCTTGGGATCCCCTCCTGGAGGACAGGGATGGGGACTCCTCTCAGGGACTCTCTCAGGAAGGAGGAGGAGGACCCTTTGCTGCTCCTAAGTCCTTTCTTTAGTATACTTTTCCTCTCTTGATGATTCTTCATCCATGACTGTTGCTGACTGGTCTCTCTCTCTCTCTGGTCATTGTACTGTCCACGTTTCTGTACTGTCAGCCTATTCCAAGCCCGTCACATGCACACCCTTCCCAAAACAGGAATTTTAGGCCCCTTCTGGCCTTGCGAGCTGGTACCACCCTGTCTCATGTTATGGAACAGTGTGGTACATGCCCCCAGTTTCTTAGACTATGTTTCTTTGTTTGTTAGATAGGCTGTCTGCTTCTGAAGGCTGACAAAAATGTGAGACCCAGGCATTTAGAGGTCAATTGCCCATACTAAACCATTCCAATACAGAGAGAAAGAGAGAGAGAGAGAGAGAGAGAAGCTAATTCTCAAAAAGCAAACCTTTAAATACCATTTTCAAGCCATCAAAACTCTGCTGGATGGCCCCTCCTGCATCAAGGTTCTCTAATCAGCCTAAAGCAGGCAGCAAAGCTATTTTGTTCCATTTAGCCCTTCCTGGTCCAGTGCCTCCTGGAAACAGAGGCACAGGTAGAACTGGCCTGTTACCTGAAGGAGCAGGGGGAGAGTAGGGAAGGGGCGGGTGATGGGCTACAGAACTCAAGGCAGCTTTGATTAGAGAGCTCTAATGAAGGAGGAACATACACATACCATAGTCCTTCCTAAACTGACTGTGCAGGAGGAACAGGACAGATTTATCTGGTAGCAGAAGCACTGGTGGAGAAGCACTAAGGTAAGCTGAAGCAGCACCAACAGTTGCTGCCAGAATCAGTAAAGTGGTATTGGGGTGCTATGACCCTGAAGTGACCACTGTTCTAGACATTTAGACTAGGGACAGAAATGACACACAAACTATTATAAGTGATTGGAAACTGGTTCAAATCTGTAGCAGTTCAGTGCAAATAAACCTTTTTCAAAATGGCCAAAACTAGTTTAGGATAAACCTGGATGGATGCAATATCAGACTTTACTGATTTAGGTGAAATCAGTTTATTAAACTTCTCTTCCAAATCCCCTCCAAATTCAAATTAACTCACAGTCCCCCAGCATCCCAGGATGCTTTGCAAGTGAATGTTCACTTGCTTATTGTTTCAATCTATACATCTTAGACTAACCTATGAAGATTGAATTGATTCAGCCTTAGGCTTTTTAACTGTCTGTACTTAGCCCTAGAAGTTTTGACAAGAAATTTAATTAGATTAGTTTTTCTACCTGGCAATTCTAATATTTTTTGACCATTTTGAAATCTAATATTAGTATACTAAAACTAAGAACTAATATTTCTTACTTGCATATCTTCTTTGGATTAAAAGTGGGCTGAAGCCTTTGGATCTGAACTCCTGATGTCAAAGGGGAAGTTTGGTCCCTGTGGGCGCATCCACACACGCAAGCACGTGTGCTTGCAGCAGCTTAAATAGAAATGGTGCAAATTTGGGGCAGGGCATTTTGCCTCAGTGCACGTGCCCAGACATGCACTTTGGTGTGGGGCAAATTGTGCCACATGGGGCAAAATAACCCTGCCTGGATCCTCCTGGATCTGCAGCTAGGGTGAGCTGGAGCCTGGGCCCAGCACCTGTGCTATCTCCAGCAGTATAAAAAGCTGCCCTGTCCTGGCCCCATCAGTACAAAAAGCTGCCCTGTCAAGTAGGTCAAGCCTACTCACTCTCAGGAGCTTCTGGGGCTTAGTCAGTTGGTACCTGGGGACGCTACTCCTTGTGCCACCTGGCCTGCTGAAGCAGTCATGAGAGTTCCCTGCACCCTCTACCCACTGCAGCAGTCTGGCAGTGGGGTGGGGGCTGCTGCCTGGCTGTGATCTGCTGCACACCTGCCAGAACCAGATGAGGACTGTGCAGCCAGTAGAGGCACCTGTCCCTCTGGGCCAGCTGCCAGTGGGCTGTGAGTGCAGAGTTGTCCTTTGTGCAGCACTACTGCCATGTGTGTCCCCTGCCCAGCCATCTGGGCAGCTATTGCCTGGAAGGTGTTCTGGGTGTGGTGGCCTGCTTTGAACTGTCGAAGCATGTCCTCCTGTCCCCATTTGGCCAGGAGGTCAGCCACAGCCACTGGGTCCAAGGTGCTAGCTCTGAGCAGGCAGGGTCCTGCCCCTGGCCTCCCTAGGAGGAATTCTGGTATTGCCTATTGGAAAACTGAAAAATCCCTGATAAAAAAATCCCAGTCACTCTGTAAAATACCCCAAAGTCCATGTTCCTCCACAATTAAAAAAAAAACCACTATAAAGACAGAGAGGGAGACAGAGAGACAGCGATCAGTTGGGCAATGTTTTATTGATATTTCATAGTTTCATAGTAGCTAGGGTCAGGAGGGACCTGAACAAATCATCTAGCCTGACGCCCTGCCACAGGCAGGAATGAATGCTGGGTTCACAAGACCCCAGACAGGTGATCATCCAAACTCCACTTGAATTTGCCCAATATAGGGGCGAGGACCACCTCCCTGGGAAGTTGGTTCCAGATTTTAGCCACCCTAACTGTAAAATATTGCCTTCTGATCTCTAACCTAAACCTATTCTCCATCAGTTTATTACCATTGTTCCTCATAATCCCAGGTGGTGCTGGGGAGAATAGGGCTCTTCCTATTTGTTGATGATCTCCCCTGATGAGCTTGTAGGTAGCCACCAGGTCCCCCCTCAGCCTCCTCTTGCTGAGGCTGAACAGGTTCAGGTCCCTCAGTCTCTCCTCATAGGGCCTGTCTTGCTGCCCTCTCATCAAGTGGGTGGCCCTCCTCTGAACCCTCTCCAGGCTGGCCACATCCCTTTTGAAGTGCGGCGCCCATAATGACTCCAAGATCCCTTTCCTCCTCTGTGCTTTCAAGAGGGGAACTCCCCAGCCTGTATGTATGCTGTGGATTCCTTCTCCCAAGGTGCAGCACCCTGCATTTGTCTACATTGAACCCCATCCTATTCTCATCTGCCCACTTTTGCAGTCTGTCTAAATCTAGTTGTAGCCTCTCTCTCCCTTCAAGTGTGTCCACCTTGCCCCACACCTTAGTGTCATCAGCAAACTTGGACAGTGTGCTTTCCACCCCCTCGTCCAAGTCACTGATGAAGATGTTAAACAGTGCAGGCCCAAGGACCGAGCCCTGGGGTACCCCACTGCTCACATCTCGCCAGGTTGAGTAAAACCCATCCACCACTACTCTCTGGGTGTGCCCCATCAGCCAATTTTTAACTCATCCAACTGTGTAGGCATCAATGCCACAGTCGCTTAATTTATTGATGAGGATGGGGTGAGAGACAGTGTCAAAGGCCTTCTAAAAGTCTGGAAAGACTATGTCCACGGCAACACCATCATCCAAGGATTTAGTTACTTGGTCATAAAAGGGAATCAGGTTGGTCAGGCAGGACCTGCCTTTGATGAACCCATGCTGATTGCCCCTGAGCATGCATCTCCCCTGCAGGCCCCCCTTGATGATTCTCTCCAATATCTTCCTGAGCACCGAGGTGAGGCTTACAGGCCTATAATTACTTGAGTCCTCCTTCCTCCCTTTCTTGAAAATTGGGACCACATTAGCCGGTTTCCAATCCTCTAGCACCTGGCCAGATGACCACAAATGCTCATACAGCCGGGCCAAGGGCTCCGCGATGACCCATGCCAGCTCCCTCAACACCCTTGGGTGGAGGGCATCTGGACTTTGCAGATTTAAAAATATCTAGCCCTTCCAGAAGATCCCTAACTACATCTGCACTGACTGAGGCCTGACTGAGCTATCAGAAAACAGAGGCAAGGAAACTGTTAAAAATATCAGCTTTCTTGTCTGGCATAGCCACAACATTACCAAGATTATCTATAGTGTTAAAGCGATTTGGAAGCCGACCAGTGTCTCTATCATAATAATAAAGTGAACTCTAAATACATGTTTCATGAATACATGAATATATATTTTGCTGCCCCCCTCAGGGGCTACAGCACCCCAACAGGGGCTACGGCCCCCCTCAGGGGCCATGGCCACCACACAGGGGCTACAGCCTCACACAGGGGTGACAGCTGACCCTCGGGTTACAGCCCCCTCACAGGGGTAACAGCCCCCCCCCAACAGGGACCAAATGGTCCCCGCAGGGGCTACCTCCCCTGCAGGGCCCACATGCCCCACCCCAGCCCCCTGACTGCTGCTCCACCTGGCCCCATCCTCTGCTGGCTGCTGCAGTCCCCCCGATGGCTGTCCCCCAAGCCCCACCCCCGCCCCCATGGCTGCCTCATCAACTCCAGGCACTGTCACTTTCAAAAAGAAAAAGGAAAAAAACAAAAAAAAGCCTCTA